TTATATCACCTTTTGAGTGACTTTCTAGTTTTTTTTAGTGATACAAGAGTGTATTAAGGATTTTCTTTCTTCAAGATTCATGTCCTTGACATTCATGTCTATTTATATTTTAATTTATTGCCAAATTTTATTAAAATATATCTTTATTAAGATTTGAATTCAAGATTACTTATTAACCAAAAAAACTATAAGATTTGTTGGATTCTTTTTTGAAACATTTTTATCTTTCACAAAAAAAAGATGTAATTTTTTTTATTTACAACAATTAGTTCTTTAAGCTATAAAATCAAAAATTAACTATTAATTCAAATTTTTTTTAAATAAATTTAATAAATTATGTCTTTAGATATTCTTATTCATGAACTTGTTCTTCAATATGTAATCATTGCACTTCTTAGAACTTATTCCTAAAAAAGAAAATAATATTACAAACATACAAAATAATCTGAATAAAAAATATAAGATATAAGATAAATGTAAGTAGATTTGATAATATCTTATAAAGAAGCTTCATAGAGGTTTTATAAATATAAATTTGACGTTATATATTTGTAGTTATTTGATAGGTAGAAAATTTAGCCAACAAATTGCCCATGTATCCCATATGTTGGCAACAAATAGTATAAGTTGGTCATGTGATACATATATAGGAAATATGTCTTATAAATTAAATATATGTCTTACGAGTTGAACATATATTAGAAGTACTATAGAATGTTGCTATGTATCTCCAGGTAGATATTATACATTGAAATAAGAATAAAGCCTTTTTTACTCTTGTCAATGTTTTTCTTGTCCTTAGTTTTATTTCAAGAGTCTCTAATCTTCTTGTATTTAGCAATAACCATTCTAATTCGAATATTTTATTATATTTTTGAATTAATATGTAATTTTTTTTAATGATACAAGAAGATATTAAAGATTGTATTGTTTGTGATTCATGTCCTTGACATGTATATATATATATATATATATATATATATATATACACAATTGATATTTCACAAGATTTAATTTTTTTTAATCCTTTAAAATCTCTTATGCTAAAGTACAAAAATATTATTTGTATAGACTTTAAAAACATTTTGTTGTAGAAAAAGTATTCAATATTATAATGAAAATATTTTTTTTAAATTATTATAAAAATTTAATAAAAAATTGATATATTTATTTTTTAAAAAACATATAATACAAAATTTATTGATATGCATTGTATATATATATATATCTTATATCTAGAATTAAATTAGCATATAATAAAGTTCAAAAATTTACTTTTTTAAATATTTAATCTTAGAAGAAATTAAAAATAAATAAATAAATATAAAATCTAATAAAAGGTATAAGTCTTGTAAAAATTATTTTCTACTTATTTTATGGGATTATATTTATTTTTTATTAATCACATGCTATATTTAAATTTTTTAATAATAAAATTTAAAATAAATTCTAATATTTTAAATTTAATAAATTAAATTTTAGAAGAAAATTGATATCAATTAATTAAGTTATTTTTAAAAAAATCTTTATTTTTTACTTTTTTTATAATTATTTCATTATATTATGGTTTTTATTTTTAAATTTTTTATTTATAATTGTAAGAAATACGTTAGTTTTATTGTAAGTAAATAATTTATATTCTTCAATGCAATATTATAAAACAATATTTATATAGTTTTAAGCTAATATTATAGATTTATTATATAATATACATATGAATTATAAATCTCTTAAAAAGAAGGTATATTATTTTTTAATATTTAGAGAAATATATTACTATAAATAAGTGATATAAGTGATATATGAATTTTTAAAGTTTTATTAAATATATATGGATATTGTAAGTTTTAAATGTAGATATTTACAGCATTTTATAAAAAGTTGATTCTTTGTGTTTTTTGGTAAATTACCAATATTTATCAACTTGAGAATTAATAATAAAATAATATAAATAAATATTTTAATACTTTAAGATGAATATGTGTTTAAAGTTTTAATACAAGTTTTAATACTTCTAATACATAAAAAATATAAGATAATGTTTTAATACTTCTAACACATAGTAATCTAATTTAAATACTATATTTTTAAAATTCACACAAAAAATAAAAACTTCTTAGCTTGTAAATATTTAAATTTATTATAATCCTTATTATTTTTTTTAGAATTTTTTTTTTGACTAAATTAGTTTAGGGCATGAATATTTTTGTACTAATTCTTTGATATTTTGATAACCTTTAAGGCAGTTCACAATTAAGAGGTTGGAAACTCAACTTAGGAATTTAAGAAAAAAATCTTAGTAGTGTTTCTAATAATAGCAGTGTAAAGAGTTTGGAAGAGAATACTAAAATATCCACGGGAGAAAGAAGAGATCCCAAAATCCATCATTTTGTTATATTGTAAAATAATTGGTTAAAAAAACATATCAAATCATAAATAAATATTTAAAATTAGATTAATAAAAAAATATTTTTTTTACTGATTCAATTTTAATATTAAAAAAATTATATCAATACTAAAATATATCTTAGTTTTAAATAAAAAAGTTCAAAAATAATATAATTTTTTAGATATTGTTGTACGCTTGTTTTAAAAAAAAATACCTTTAATACTAAAAAATAGCTAAAAGTTCAAAAGGAAATCTACTATTTATAGTAAATTAATCAAGAATCAATAAGAAATTATATCTTCTATGATTATAGATTTACAAAGTAACAAATATTCAAATATGAAATTTAATAAAATCTTATAATTTTCTAATAATATATATATATATATATATCAAAATAGTTTAGAAGTATTATATATTTTTAATGCATATGTTTTTTAATAGAAATAAATTTAGTATTAAATTAAAATTTAAAAAATAAAAATGAAATAAATTTTATCTTTTATTTATTTTTTGATTTTACTTTTTTAAAACATAAAATAATATTTTATGGAATATTATTTAGTATGAAATATTATTTCATTTTATTATGAAAACGAATTTTAAAAATAAGAAAAATATAACAATTAACTTAAATTTAGTAAAAAGTATATTAATTTTATCATTTAATTATCACATATTATTACTATAAAAGTATTTAGTATGTCATAGAACAAGGTACGGTTCATTATGAAATTTCCATTATATATATTTTTATTTGTGCAAGCCAATTCAATGGTAAAAATGCATAATTTTTTATTTGAGTTTTGCTTAAAAAGAATGTAAAGAATAATTATATTTTTGTTTATTTTAATATCATTATCATCTAAAAATTATTTCTAATATAATTAATAGGTAAAAATAATTCTGTTCCAGTTAATAAATGGTGAAATGTTAAATTGTAGTTAACTCACTAGATAAGTTTAAAGTATGTTCACATCTTAAGTATGAGTTAAGTTGTATCTAAAAAAATAGCTACGAGTATCAAAATTTTAAATCCTTTGAAAGACGTTCTATTATTATCTTGCCAATATAATTTTTATGTAAGCTATTTAATATTTTACCTAAGTAAAATCACTTAATTATAGTTTTAAAAACTATTTTTTTATAAATTTAGAATTCAATGTGTATAAGATTAGATGCATATTTTTGTAAGTTTTCATATATATATATATATATATACACACATAAAAACCATGAAAACATTCTATTTATTTATTTATTTATTTATCATTACAATGATTTATAATAATTCTGATGGTAAAATAAAATAAAATGGTTGAATAAAACATATCTTTGTTAACATAGTTTTTTCATCAATATATTTTTAAACAAAAAATTTAAAACAACATTAAAAGAAAAAAACTTTTAAATTTAAAAACTATTTTTAGGTTTTAATGTGTTTGACAAGTCCAAAAAATATTTTATTTCATTCTGCTGTTGATGTCATTTACATTACAGATTGTGCAACAACTAGTGCACAATCTTAAAAAATTGAATATAGATGTATCTAGTGCATAATAAAAAGGATATGAATGTGCAATAAAAGAAACTAAGAATCTACACCTTCCGTTCTTTGAAACAGAATTGTATTATTTTCAGATAAAATATGACCAACTAATAAAATTTACTAAAAATTTTATATGTACATGTAAATAACACATATGCATTGATATTTATGCACAAGAAATAACATACAGTAGTTGGAACAGAAAAACTACTATTAGCAATACAAACCAATCAGATAAAAAACCCCAATTCTAATATACAACCAAAACATCCATTTGATTGATATTTTAGCAACGTTACAAAACTTAGACAATGCGTTTCAAATCCCCATGTGATAAGTCATGTAGGATATGATTTTTTTTCCCCCGTTTTTTTATTCTGTTAACCATAAATTAGATTTTGTTCGTATCTTTCAAAGTGTTTCTGCTGAGCTTTTTGGGTTTTGCCTTCCTTGGGCGCCATGGAAGCGCAAGTACACCATTCGATACTTTTCGCCATAAATTCATGAAGCTAACTGTGCCATGCTAGCTGCACAAGACCATGAACTCCAAGTGAATCAAAAATCAAGCTCACTTGACAGCAGCTCTGAGCAAAAGACAGGTGGAGGAGCATGAGACCATGTTCCAAGCTGGAGTGTTGTGTGTGATTCTGCAGGTGGAAACCCTAGGTACCGTTCTCTCTGGCATTAAATCCAAGACGTTATGGTGCGACCAACAGCTTCAACATCAATGTTGCTTGTGCTCAAATCGTAATTGGGAGTTAACTAGTGATTCGTTCTCATGAACTGGGATATCTTTACTTCTGAGATCAGATCAGCAATCATAACACAGCGCGGTACGACTGGTAGTCAAGTACTGTAGTACTAGAACTGGTGTGGCATTGCGACCACTTAATCTAGCAGTCTTGAGTCGCGAAACAGCAGTTTTAGCTAAAAACAACGGTGTGGTTGCCTTAGGGAAACGGTGAGTTCCTGCAGTCACAATTGGAGCTCACAGTGACGTTCAAAACGTGGAATGAGTCCATGGGGAGTGACGAGAAGTTGCTAGCACATCATCCAACCTTGTCCCTGTAAAAAAGATGTAGTTTTATATGATGTTGTATTGAATCACATTTGTGATGGTACATTTGGACTGAAAATGATGAGAGCTTCCAACTCGTGAACGCTGATTTCTACAAGGGGAAAACAACTATTGAGTGATGGGTTCACAACTAGGCTGTGTATCAATATGGTTCTTCCTAGCTAAAACTAGTTCTAATGACAAAATTGCAATCCTACACCGGTATGGAACCTGAATAATCTGCTCCATACGCTAGTAGTAAACTAGATCGGGCAGCTCTATGAAAACTGCAACTCGACATTCGACTGGCAAAATATGATTCCAATTATGTGCTTAGGATTTCGGCTGTATGTGGATCCTGTGGTCAAAGGTAGGGTCCGTTGAGACAATGAAAATCATGGAAAATAAACGATGGCATTCCGACCATATTATACGTCCACAGTAGTTGATATGTATATATATATATATATATATAGATATATATATATATATATATATATATTCGGACTTCTTTTGAAGTAGCTTCGCATCATCGGGAGAATTGCAATTGAAATTGAAGGATCTAAGTTCAGAAGACCCAACCTGAACAAGAAAAAAAAGTGAAAAATCAGCCGTACACAATGGGGTACATATCCAGCGCAGTGACGGACCACAGGACATGCAATCTGCGAAATGAATACATATTAACAAGCGATACTGATTCTTTCATCACAGTGCTCATGTATCGGCATGACTGATCAGAGCTGATGTGCTACCCTGCAAAGACCTAATTTCGGCAACCGCCAAAACTGCAATTGTGTATAAAGCTCACCGGAAAAAGATCAGCAAACGTATTCTGAATGTACCATGTCAACTCTTTCCCGGGGTGATAGCCAGTAACTCACATGAGCCTACTCGATGGTCTGGGGCACGGAGCGATCTCGGACATCCAAACTGGGCAACAGCCGGTCAGAGCTCAAGGAAGCAAAGAACGACGTGGATTTCCGAATCAGGGGTGTGGAGTAGCACTGGTATAACGCTGCACGGCATGGAACAGCGTCCATTATGGCCAGACCTCGACGGAGCCCAAAGCTACTTCAGTTAATTTCACAACAAAACGTCGCCTCCTTCCGACCCCACCCCCGAAACCCAGACGTCGTCGCCGTCGCCGTCGTCAAGAAGAATGAAAACTCGACACTGCAGAGACCAGAAAGCCAAAATCAGTACAAGATACCATCAACCGTGTGCCTGTCAAAATACTCAAGCAAAGACCTCGTCCGATCGAAAAGAGCGCAGCCGACCGGAACTATTGAGTTGACTGCAGTAGTAACAAGTTGTGGAGATAGAGCGAGGCATACAAGAGGAACTCGGGAAGAAGCGGCAGCCTGTTGCAAGCTCAACACAAAGATAGCAACAGGAGATGACAGAAGAGTGCAAGTGTGTGTGTGTGTGTGTGTGCGCGAGTGTGAGTGTAGGTTAGTGGGTGGCTGGGATGGCGAAGCGCAAGTGGGATGCAACGACTAGAATCCCAACCAATTTGGTGACACGAGAAACGAAGATCAGGCGGCCTTTTATCAGACTGGCCCTCAGCCTGGCTTCTGCTCCTGCTGTTGCTGCTTCTTCTTCTACTACTTCTTCGTCTGGCCCACTTGGAGTTCTGACGCTGCCAATGCGCCCAGGGTTACACGAGGATGTTCCCTTAGAATCTTTCTCCAAGCGGCTCTTAATGGATACCTTTTTTGTTTTTTCGTGTTTGGTATCTCTCCTCTTCAACTCTTTATGTTTCACAACCTCCCTGGATTTGTGTATGAATGGAGTTCCCTCCTTCTTTGGATGTTTTAGGTACGATTTGCCTTTCATGCAACTTCTGTCGTTCCTTCCTCCTCTATCTTCTGCACCCAATTTAGAACCTTTCCTTACTGTCTTCAAGAGTGACTCCAATGAATGTCTTTTGTTTCGTTTTTTTACTTTTTAGGTTTGGTAAGATGGTCGACAAAACTAGTGACAATCACAACCATAGACGGATGAAAGGATGTCATTAAATTTCATTCAACAGTAATTGTGCTTTTGAAATGACAATTCAAGAATTTTATTATCCAGAACATCTCTTCTTAAAACAAAAATAAAAACACCTTATTGAGAAAAGTAAATGATACATACGTACACAAATAATTTTGATTTTAATTTTGACTTTCTTCTCCTTCTAAGTTCATAGTGAAGACATTTCGGATTTCTTTTGTTTGGAATTTTCTTTTTGTCACACGACAAGGTAATGGGGCACCATTTACCAATCGTGGATGGAGTGCATTTCAGGGGAATTCGCTGTTGTAAATCAAGTTTTGTTGACCAATGGTGACATCATCCCTGCTGCTACAGTCTGTTTTTAATGGCAATTATTGGCACCAGAGTCATACCATAAATGAAGCATCATGCTGAAGTACTTTCTGATGTACACAGTCTTGTTGAGTAACTGGCTTGTTGAGGTAAGTTAGTTTACGTTGGAGGTTTTATTTCCTCAAAGACCATACTAAAGATCAGCTGGTTTGAAACTCACCCCACATGAATAAGTATGCATCCTAGGGGTTTGCTTCGAAAAGACACATCACTTTCAGCTTTCAGTGATGTGTCATAATCCAATGTTGTATTCCTTATTATATTCAGTCTACTGTAGATTGCGAGTCGAAGTCCCTCAATGTTTGAATAGAGCAAGTCTTGTCTGAGTTTCTGCGATTCCTAAATTACACATGATGAGAAATTAAGAATCTTGCCGGCGGCCATAGCCTTTTTTGTACCCCTTGTCTTTTGGGTTATGTTTGATGACGAGTTTATGCCTATCGCTAGACTATTGACTAGGCTTGCAACTGTGCTCTGACGGGAAGCCTAGTAATTGATACATTCCGAGTGCATGCGTTTAGAACAAAGTAAACGATATTTGGATATCTAGGAACTTTTGGTTGTAGATATTGATAAAGAGATTTATGAGGTCACTGATATTCATGGAATCCATTATGTGCTACATCAAACACGGTTGCCTAATTGCACTTGTAGAAGCTAAGGGATGAATTCTTTCGAGGTGGCATTTCAGGTATAACTGATCTATTTACGGAATATCAGAACCTTCGATCACACTTTTGTGCAGCCAATGTTCTAATCGTTAGCCGCCAGCGCCAAGGGCAGGAGAAACAATCCCCCAAAAGCGACTTCAATGCAGAATTCGAAACAACTTTTCGTCATCGTGTGAGCTGAAATGGCTGCTACAATGAGCCTTTAGGCCATTCTTCAACCGTAACTTGCACTATTCTTTCGAGGCAGCTTCTCACGCCTTTCAGTTATAGTGAATGTCCTCAGCTGACACTGGTACCTCCGGCCAATTTAAGCCGGAATTCAAACATTCAGGCGCAGTACCTATCCGCTCTCCTCTCAAGCACACAATCTCCAATTAGAAGACTTCCAGAATTGGTTGACTGGGAGTGCATCTGACATGAACAATCATCAAATCCACCTTGATCTCTTGATGTTGCAGTGACATAGTAACCCTTCAAGTACATCCCTCCAGCATAGTACTGGTCCAGGTACCTCGGCACGATGCTTTTTCCCGTGTTGCGGGGGTTTGGGGAGAAATAAGTGCCCGGACACAAGTCTGTGCCGAATTTGGTGCTTATAAATATATGTTTCTCAACTCAGGCCCTGCTTTGTCATGTCTTCTTTAGTGATTCTTGCAGATGTTAGCCGTGCGATGCACTTGTTAGATCATGGCGCGACTGCACCGCTCATAGTTAGTCCTTGGAGCTCTCAGCTCCATATTCGCAGCTTGAACGAAGCCCACAAGAGACTTTTTCCACATCGAAGACTCTGGACTGCATGTATGTCCTTGTTCTAGTACTGCTATTTTCCTTCACGGCAGGTTGACCAAAGTATGAATATGAAGTGAAGCGTAAAAGCAGAGTGTAACGTCCTCTTGTCGGAGGTTCAGGATTATGAAATGAATGATAATCGACATTCCAAGATTCCAAGCATCGTTGTCCGCAATTTTTCATTGGCTGATTGATTGAAGCATGAAGATTGGTCGAGAAGTGTAACATCGAGACTCATTTCCCTCATACTATTCAGCGTCTCGGAAAAGTACGGAAGATTCACATTGGTGCATTGTCGTCACCTTGATGATGTAGAATCGTGTACGTTTTGTGGACTAAAAAGGATGTAAACATGGGAGAGCTTATGAATACAGGGCGAATTATCTTAAGCAGACAGTCCTTGAAACAGAGATTTTGGTATACGCAGGATTCGCTCCTCAAAATGCGAGAGACTTGAGTTCACTGGACTTCACCTCCTCTAGTGTCCGAAGTACACTTCCAAGTACAAGCAGGCTGCGTGAGGTTTATGCACTTTCTATTCTGCCCTTTGAAGTGAGAACAGGTGTTATGTATCAGGCTTCCAAGCCTCCTGTCGAAGTGGGAAGTTGTGTTAAGATACACTTCTGCTAGTTGTCCCTCGCTTTAACTTGATCACCCTGGATGCGCGCACTCATTTGCTTGGGCATGTCTTCTTTCAAGGGAACATTGCAGGGTGACTAATATTTTTTTTGAAATGGTCTAGACAGGTCTAATTCAGATCTGCAGAGGACACTGTTATCTTTCGTAAAATGTTTCCCTGTTCGCTTGAATCTTTCTTTGCTGAGTAGACATTGCGGTATACTAGTCAACCACTCCTAATCCTCGTAACACAAACTAAAACATCTGAGCTGTCAATGTTTCTGTAATTTCCACTCATGATAAACACATTACTGGAAAGAATTTGTCCAACCTGATCAGAGGGTGTAACACAACATACCAAAAAATGTTGGTGGTTAGGAGTTCATCCATATCCATCCTACTCTGAGGCATTCATGGAACGGGTTATGATAGCCTTCAAACACAACATGATATTATTTTACATGTACATTCTGGCTATTCAGAAGTACACCACTGCGTATAGCTCCGGAAAGCATTCACATGTATCCAAACATGAGAACATCAATTATATACTACTAAGTTTTTAGTAATCTAAGCTATATTTGGTAAATAACAGCGCCCAAGGCGCTGTTAATTTTTTTCATGCTGTAGCCAGTGGGCCATATGATCATGTCTTCCGTGCGTGATATTCTGGGCATATGACGCTTCGATAACCTCCCTTGTGTAACGCCTCAATGGTGCCGGCCTACTTCTGTGGCCTAGTGGAGGCCATCCAATTTCCTGAAACAGCAATTTCCAGGACCCTTCTGACAAAAAGATGAATCGAAAGCGTTTTCCACATGCTAACACTGTACAAGTGTATCTCTACTTGCACACCAGCCTTTAGTGAGTGATATTCCGGTACACTTACAAATTACTGAACAGGATGTTTTGCTACTGGGTTGGAACTGAAAGGTGACCCAACATTAAAAGCCTGACGTTCCGGAACCAACCCCACTGCAGTCCTACGATCGGCGTGGAAGAACCACTAGCCTCCCTCATTCAGGTCGGCGATCGATTCTAGCCCTAAAGCTTCCATGAAGATGGCCTTGTGGATGGTCAGTGTGCAGTGCAGCTGTAAGACTGAAATTGTGTGATTTTTCTTCACGACATGAAGATGCGAGTAATCTCGTGGTTGGATTCCATTCTCAGTGGAACCGCACAAACTCCTCCTCTGCATTAGGTTGTAAGCCAACCATTCAAACTGGGAGCAGATTGGCACAAAGCGGCACGAACAACGAGGAAGCCCCTTGCGATGCGATCAGAAAGCAGAGCTTTGGTTACTGCAGATTCGCGCGGCTTCCATTTCGAAAATATGATCGATAAAATATACTCACCCGAGCTTCCTACCCCCCCCCCTCGGGCCCCGCTGACTGATCATTGTCAGTTCCTCCCCCACTGGCAGGGCACGGCAACCCGCGGCAGGCGACGTCAGGGGTAGGGGAGGTGGATGAGCGGCGATAACCCGCGTGTGGATGAACAATGGATGAGTAACATTCATCCGTCCACCTTGCTGCTGAATTGTGCAGCAGTAATTGTGGTCTCGATTTGTGCCATTATGAATGAAGATTCTTTTCAATTGCTCGCTTCCCTTGACGGTTGGGGTTGCAATGAAAAATATAAAACATTGAAATTATATATTATAAAAGTAAAAATAAATAAATCAATAAATAATGTTAACTTGAATTATAAAAAAAAAATGCCAATAATTCCTAAAAGCACCCATAATCTACAAAAGAGTTAGGAATTACATACTAAAAACTAAAATTTAATCTTCCAAAGTTCACACTACGAAGTTGGCTCTAAAATATCATATTATTACATAAACTTGGTTATTGAAAGACTTGGTTAGATAGTCTCTTTTGTCTTTTTATTACCAAAAAAAGTGTTATAATCTTGATTTTCTATGTACATATAATGAGTGATAATAGAAATCATTAGGAGTGGTAACAATCAATTCAAATTTTAAAATTGAAAATAAAATTTGTAATTACTATTTTAAATACAAAAAATTAGACAATATTTAGTTTAAATATGCTACATAGTTCACCATGTGTATAATATTTAATAATTCAACCTGTGATTTTTCACAGATTTCGTTTTTGATTTTTAGTATTAAAAGTATCTAAATATTAATAATAGTATGAAATATCATTTAAAATTTTTATTTAAAAGTTTAAATGCATATGCTTTGAGTAATTATCTTCTTATTTTATCATTTTTATACACATGTTTGTTTTATTTTCAAATTTTAAAACTTCTTCAATAATATATATAAATATAATATTCAGGTATGTAAATTTAAAGAAATAGATCAGTACCTGATTATTATTTATATATATATCAACTTTATTTTAGAGGTTAATGTTTTAATTAAAAGAAAATTACTATTATCAATGAAATCCAAAGATAGTTTTGCTCCTCTACTCTCTTAATACTTTATTCCAAGCAGAAGACATTGTTATACAAGAATTTTGTAAAATCATAAAACAACAATGAATAAAAAAATAAAACAAATTAGCCCTTGAACCAAAAATAGAAATAAACCAGTTATTTACAAAACTGATTTGAAACATGAAGAATGATTATATTTCTTGCTCTTTGTGCGTTTTATTACTATTATTTTCTATCTGTATAATAGAATTGTAATCCTACTTTTTTGGCTAAAACTATTTCTTGTTGCAACTTTGAAAATTGATTAACAAATTAACAAAAGTAATCTTAACATAAAATTAAACTTCAAAACTGATTTCATTTTATTGAGTTTTAATTTTGACATGTCATTTTTAAATTGTTTCATTTTCTTAGAAATTTCATGAAACAGAAATATCATTAAATCATAACAAGAAAAAAGGAAAAAAAGAAAAAAAGAAAAACCACAAAGTAACTTATAATTTAACATTGATATTGATTTTTGCTAAAATAAGTGTTTATGTAAATTTCAAAAAATAGAAATAAATTAATAACCAACTTTCTATCCTACCATGAATTGTTGATATTTGCTTGATGAAGGCCATGTAAATTGGTGCTGTGTTTGCCAATTAAATAGATATTTTTAATAAAATAGATTAAAAACAATATTATACATCAAATAAATATAATTTAAAATCTCGTTTTATTTCTAAAATAAGACGTACTATATTTATCAAAATATTTTTATTTTATTATATATATATATATATGTGTGTGTGTGTATACTTAGGATATTATATAATTTTTTACAACAAAGTTCAAGAATTTTACACCAAGATTTTACAGAATGAATAAAGACTGGTTATATTTAAATATTTTTGGATAGTTTAGATTTTTAAACATGGCAATACAAGTCTTTGATTTTAGATAAGAATTAAATCCAGAAGGAAAACACACGTTTTATTAAAAACATCCATCTGAAATAGAATTTGAACAAAATCAATTAGAATTTATTTAAAATATAAATAGAATCCAATATGTATTTGCTAAAAACGTTTACAGTAATTTCACCCAAGTGCAATAAATACCAATTATTATGAACACATAGAATGAATTCAATTAGGATGGTAGAGGCCATGGTGTAATCGAATTTTACACACTACATGTGTGCCAAGAAGAGAAAAGAAAGAAAAATGATAAAGTAAAAGATGAAACAAAATAGAAAATTATTAAAAGAGAAAGGTAAAAGGTAGGGCACGAATTAAAGTAGAAAAGTAACATGATGCCCATGAATGCATGGCGTCGGCAGAGGTTTCGTTGCGGCTGTCAGAGTTGCTGGCGAAACCCTAAAAATGGCTCCTTTCTGCGAAAAGAAGAGAAGAGAGCAGGTGGGTAATGGACAGTAACAGAGGAAATATTCCATGCTCAAGAATAAGCAGCCATCCGAGACAAATGTGAACTTTACAAGCTGACATCGAAAACCTCAAGTGTACAACGTATATTCTTCCCATGATCCCCCCCCCACTCTTCTGATTCTACAGTCATAGACATCATCGACATCAACAAAATGCTGCTATCTGCGCCTTTCAACCTTGTAACAAAGGGCTCCTCTGGATGAGCACGAATCGGAAAGACTTGATGCCTGTGCAACGCAGGGGTGGTGAATAGCAGACGCTGATAAACGACATTGGGAAGGGCCAGGAGGAGGACCCATATGGCTGGGAAACTTAAGTATCAGTTTACTTAGACGTGCACCAGCTTCTACTCTTAATTGGTGGTCGTAATCTGGCAGAATAATGGTGCACTGTAAGACTCCATCAGATTTCCATACAAACCATTTCTTTCAAATTATCTTCGGGCTTGATTACCTATGGATAACAAGACAATCAGAAGCATACTGTACTACCTTTGAATGATTCCATTCTGAAATTATTACCACCAAACTTATTTAAATTCTTGAATGTTTCATTGCAACTGTCAGAATGTTCATTTTTTTATAAAATTATGAAGTTGAGCTCTGACTCCCCACACCCAACTGAGCGATCTGTTTATATCTCTGTGTACAAAAAGAGCGCATGTTGTAAGCTTGGTAAATAGCATCAGGCAAAGGGCTGATTAAAAGAAAGATTGAGTGGTAGCCATAACAAGGATTCAAGTGCATCAGCTAAGAGAAACTATACTGTAATCTTGTACAATTTGTAAAAGATATGATCTAGTGAAGGGCTCAAGATACGACTCACCTATTTTTACATAATTTTGGTACAGCCTTGACAGGCCTGTTCTGACGGCATTGATCCTCAAATTCCATTGGGAACCTGATGTCATCTACCTTTCCTTGCTCTAACTAATATTTACTGACTAGCTATACAGATCAATATACAAGTGCCAATTATATCTAGCTAAGAATCAATGTAAGATTTGGCACTTGCCATAGTATAAACATGAAGCTCTATTAAAATGATTTTGAATCGCAGGTGGAAAGAAAGCTTGAACATGAAATCAGAAATTTGCACCTGGGGGGGCTGGATAAGACGGAACAGTCTGAATGCGTTTGTCCTCTACGGGAACTCCAATAGTAAAGTGATAAAGACTCTGGAACTTGTTGTCCTTCAAGCCAAGCACTGTATGCACTGTGTTCACATTCCCCTTAATACTGTCAGTCTCTTGTCTTCCAGTCTATGCTCCCAAGCCATAAATCTGTTCATAAATGCAAGATATATTTGAGCATGAGACTGAGCTACAAACTCACCAGGATCATCAAAAAAGCATCCGATTCCTGTCCCTGAAACACCAAAAGCATGTGCTTCCAGGTACAACATTTGACCGATTAAGCCTGTCTCCCAAAATAGGCGAGGATACATCGAGGGACCAAAGTCCCTCATCGCAGACTCGAACCTTGCCAACATGCCCAAGCTAAAGAAGCCATCTCCGGCTATCTCCTGAAAAATGCAGTAGCTAATCAGAACGAAATTTATGAAATTTGCACGTAGGTGTTTGGCCAATATTTCATCAAATATTTCCTAGTTGCTTTTTCCAGTTTAGAGCTATTTTTCTTGCAGTAAGAACCCACCTGGTCACAAGAAAGCCGCTGTGCCAAGCCTGTGACGTTTCCATACTGCAGTGCGTAGAGTGGTAAGCTAGGAGGACATATCTCAGGCTTCTCCCACGAAAATTCCGGTTTCATTAATTTTGCGAGTTCTTTAGTATATGCCTCATTTCTCACCAATATGTATACTCCCGGTTGCAAGCCAACCACACGATGTGCAAATATTACCAAGTGAACTTCAGCATTCCAGGGCAACGCTCCAAAAGGAAGCTGCCGTGGAGCACCTTGAGTTTCCCCGCTTCCAGTTGGCAATGTCTTAGCAAGAATTTGGAAGAACACCTCTGCAAGCATGGCGTATGTGCTGTCCATGCTCTCAGCACTCCTACGCTTACGAACAACCTGCGGATAGGTATCTCAATTAAAATCCCCGACTCTTAACATGTAGGATAAGTGTTTCGATGTCCAAAGCAAGGGACTCTGAGCAACAGAAGTTGGATTCCCAATGACAATCAACGCAAAATCGACTCTATCACACGATTCACATTCATGAGTTGTATGATGAGTTGCAATAGGTCCATAAAAAGCATGGCATTTCTATCAACGGATATACGCCACAAAGGAAGAAATACTGGGACTATGAAAATCTATGCGCCTTGAGGAGCAATAGGTATGGTGTGCAAACTGGAAGTGAAGGAAACCAAAACAACCTGTCGTACAGTCACAGGTTCGTATTCCGCGGATGTAATGATCGAATCAGGCAGAGGAAGAGATCTTGTAATTGCAGCACTAGTCACAGCGCTCTTCTCTGAGGCCTGAGCTGCCTCATAGATTATGCCCCAACTCATGTGCTCCTTGCTCAAAGCGCTCATTTGGCCTTGCCACTTCACATCGCCCATTAGTTTAGCGACTTGGTAATTTGGCTGCTCGGAGATTGTTAGGCCTGACAACACACGATTCAGACCAGTCTCCATCAAATCATCAAACATCTTACGCAAGCCCTAACATTATTGAAACTTGGAAAACATATAAAGACCGAATTTCATCAAGAACGGGAAAAAGTAAACTCTATTTAGACATATGGGTTGCCTCCAATACTCTGCAGTATAACCACAAACTCACCAGAAGGGAATATTGCGAGGACACAATCTGCGTGCTCTGTCTCAAGCTCCCGCATTACACCCCTCACAGGACCTCGATCTGTGCTCACCCTGACTTGAGGCAATCCAAGGAGACATCCAATTTCATGCACGCTGTACCCGTCCAGCATGCAAGCATTCCAACCCAAAGACGCGGAAGCAATCGCCACTGCTCCAATTGCATGCCCTACATCGTGATTGCAATATCTGCATCGCGAATGATACCAATCCAGGCGCAAGCTGTCAAATAGAGGCTATGGAGAGTGAACCAAATAGGGCTAAGCAACCTGAAGAATTTTCAAGTCGAAAAACGAAAACAGTGAGGCTTACCTGAATGCTCGTTCGCCATACTTCCAAGACTCTCTCCAGAAGATGGAGGAAAATCCAAAAAGCAAAGACCCGGGAGGCAAGCCGCTAGACAAGTACCTCCACTTCTCCACGGAGATCTCCGCTCGAATCTCCAGCACATGCTCATAGGGAGCATAATGCGCAACAAATGGGGTCATCGAAACCCCCTCAATCGCATCACAAATTACATACCCCTCCGTAGGGTGCAAATTCCCGCTGCTGGGATTCACCCGCAGCGACCAAGTGGATCGCCTCGCGGCTTTCCAAGCCGACAATGCCAAACTGTCGTAAAGCAGCTGTGAGAGACTGCTCTTGTCCAGGGGCTTCGGGGCCAAGCTCTCCTCAAAAATCACTGGCCACAGCGGGTCGCTGCTCCGCGTGGGAGACTCTGGCAGATGATCCAGTGGCACCACCCGGGCACCGTCGTAACGCCGAAACGGATTCGGCTGGTTGGCCCAGTCCAACCTATGCGGCCCTCGCGCATATTTCCGCGACCTATGCTTCGTCTCCTCGTGGTAATTCACCAAAACCGACATCGCCAAGTCCACGGGATCACCATCTTGCGTCGTCCGCCCTTCTTCGGCCATTCCAGTCCCCGCAGAAGAAGCACACGCCCGTGCCGAACAAGAGCTCGAGACGAAGCTTGGCGATAACCGCTTCAAACCCCAACCGGGACCATAGATTCGCGAGCCCAGTTTCACAGCCCTCATGACTCCTAAACCTGCTGCAAATGCTGATCGTTGTCACACAAATAGAAGATTTTCCATGCAACTGGAAATGCGTCACCACATGCATGCACGCCTGGCCACTATCCTGGAATCCTGGCACTGGGCGGGGCTAGCCATTGTTGCGTGTGGCCTTTCTATTTCCTTGTGGCATGTCGAGCCCCCCTGCCCTAAGCATTTCTTCCTGCAATACCCAGTGTTTTTTATATTAGGGTGTTCAATGTTGACATTATTGCTAAATGATTTGGACAGTTTCATGTTTTTGACAATCTTTGATATATCAAACTGCTGAAGCTTGACATCATTGTCAAAAAAACTGGGCAATTTTATATCTTTGACTATTTTAAATATGTTGAGGTTCCCAAGTTTGACATTATTGCCAAATGAAGAGGGCAATCTCACATGTTTGACTAAATTTGATGTAAGAGAATATTCAAGCTTAACATCTTTCCCAATTTATTTGGCAATAAGTTAAGAAAATGCATCCATCTTCAAAATGCAATTTGGCAAAAAGTTATTTGAAGATGGATGCATTTTCTTAACTTTTTTAATCTATGTAGATCTTTAAAAAGAGATAATATAAAACATCATTGTAAGTTAATTAGGTTCTTAGCGAAGCAATTAATAAGTGGCATAATTTTTTTTTTTTTTTTCATTTTTATTCTATGCATGATTAAATATTATTTTATATAATATATGTATATTATATAAGACAGTTAACTTGCGCAACTACATTCAATGTATTATCTTAAAATATGATATTTTATTTATTTAATAAGATAAATTATGTAAAAAATAAGAATTTAAAATAAAATTACTATGGTTTATTATTAGATTTTTTATACCTAAAGTAGCTTATGGCTATATAGACAATCTAAATAGAATAGCCACTTGAAAAATATGCATTCTATTGTCTTTTTGTATAAAGAATTTAATTCTAAGAGTCAAATTTCTATTAGATAATAGAACTTTGCAAGTTGTCTTCAATAAAAATTTAAGAGACTTTTTTGATATAATAAATACTTGTGCTTCAAAAAAATATATAATAAAAATAAATTATGACCAAATTTATTAAATTTGTTCTTTATTGATAATTTGAGAATTTTCAAAAGAAATTGGAATATGATGAAAAAAGGCATCTTATAATTTGTCAAAATAAACATATGATTTTTTTCCAAAGACTTATCAAGATTGTATACTAAGTTGGTATGTTATTGTGAGAATAAAATTTACCTTTCAACTTAAATTATAATGAGGCTTCAATTAAGAATTGATTTTAATTAGTGATGTAAAGTAAGAAGAAAAAAATGAATATATATATATATATATATATATGTATAAATACATAGATACATATATATGAAACAAAAAAAAAAAATCAAATGAATTTATACTTCAAAACTAGATACAATCTGTTTGTTGACTTTTTAAGTAGTAAATGATAAGAAGATAAATTTAAAAGTTAAAATTTTGTAAATATAATTTTTTAATCTTTCTAATGACATAAAAATTAAATAAATCCAAGTTACTAAAACAATTATTATGATTAAAGAAAGTAAAAAAAAAAAATTAAAAAAAACAAGGCAATTTGGATTTACTTCAAGAATAACTTGAAAATGTGATCAAGGATTAAAGCCTCACTAAGGCTCACTACTGATATAGAGTGTTGTAGAAGAGCCACTAGACTTTGATCTAATCTCCTTAACTACCCTCTAAATTACTTGTGCTATAACTTACAATTATTACTACTACTATCATTTCTATATACAACTTAGTCTAGTTTCTCTCACCATGGTATTCATAACAACCAACTAGCTTAGGAATCTCACAAAGCCTTTAAATATTGCTTCAAACCTTCATAATAGCATCCAAAAGTGAAAATTTTATTTTTATGAAAATCCATAAAATATGTTCTAAAAATGATTAATTTTTAATAACTAAATCATCAATAATACTTATGTATTAATAGCAAATAAAAGCTACTTTATTTCACCTTGATAATTTTTTGTAAAAAAAGGTAATATAAATCAACTAAATATATTATTATATTATATAGTTTTGATTGATATACTTATATTTATAGATTATATAGATTTTAAGTAAAAAATTATATTTAAAAAATTAATGTGGTTAGAATTGATTAAGTGCTAAAAATATTAATCAAATAAAAATCAATATAATAATAAAAAATCATCCTAAAAAAATTAATATTATTTTTAATCGTAAAATTTAGGAATTAAAAATTATATATAGAAGCAATCATATAGTTGTAAAAATACACAATTTAAAAAGTTTTATTAATACTCTTTTATTTAATTGGCACAACCAAAATAGAAAATATAACATTAAAATTTTAATATAAGATCTAGCAAATAATTCAAAATTTTATTTTATTTGAGGATAAAAATGGTATAAAAAATCAATATAAATAAAAAATAATAATAAAATATAAAATAAAAACTTTAAAAATATATATTAGAAATTATTTGAATCAATAATATAAAATATCTATTGATATTATATATATGAAATGTGCAATAGATGCATTGAATTGAAGTTCACCATATACTTTTAAGTATTTTTTTAGTATCATTATTTTAAATCTTTAATACTAATAATTCTTGTTGATTTAAATAAAAATAATTTTAATTATTTATTTTGATAGCTCAATAAGTCAATTGATTGATTATTTGCATAGCATAGATTACTAAGGATATAAAGTTAGTATAATTAATTTGAATTTTCTTAAAATAAGAGATGTTTATAATTTTAATAAAAATAATTATTATAAAAAAATACATAATTTTATAAAAATATTTAATCTATTATATGATTCTTAAATAATATAATGCAATATTAGTTGATAAATTTTTATTTTTTTATTTTTATTTTATAATATTATACATTTAGTGCATTCATCTTATGCATTATATTTCAAAATTTTAAGAAAAATAAGATTCTTACTTCAATATCAACCATAAATTCAATTACATTTAAGTATTTTATTAAAATCTAATTATTTAATAAATCTTCTTTAATTTTTAACAATCCTATTTAAATCCTAAAAAAATTCTAATCAACTATAATAAAGTCTTAAAGAAATTCTAAAAAAATCTAATAGAAATTACCAAAAATCCTAATAAAATCTTATCCAATCTTAAAAAAATTCTAAAAGTATGTCATGGATATACATAATTATTTAGAAAAGAAGTATTAAGTAGAAATTAAATATAGATAGACTCGATAATATCTTGTGGCATAGCTTTTTAGAAGCTTCATAGATGTGGATTTGACTTTAGATGTACTTATAGTTGATTGGTAGGTTAGAAACTTGGTCAATAAATTAGTCACATATTGTACATTGTCCTATGGTAAGACAACTATATGATAAAAAAATAAAAATATGGATATTATTATAAAATAGCATAGTAGAAAGATATAATAAAAAAATAAGGATAAATTATAGGAAGGTATTAAAAAATTTAGTCTTAATGCTACTTTTTTGTAGAAGGAACGTCCATTTATTTCGTAGGAATATAAATGAATCAAACCAAGATAAATAAGATACATAATTAAAATTTGTATTTTTAAGAGAAGATTAAGAATAGATTTTAGCAAAAATTAACTCAAAATATGAAGAATCGATACCTAAAGAAGACTAATTGTGAACTAAAATCAAAATTAGATCCCAAGGCACAAAACCATGTACCTATAGCAACATTGGGATTTTTTAGTCAATTAAAGAGTAAGATATGTGAGCAGACTTATGAAAATATTTTTGAGAGTTGATTTTATATGATTTGAAGATATATTGTGGTTTTGAGAAGTAAGAAACTTATTCTATAGATTTAGATTTTAATAAATAAAAAGAAGTGTTCAATTTTGAAGATTGTGTGAGTATTGTAGCATTTTTACAAGTAAAAATTTGTGAATTTATTATTGTACTTTTTTTAAATATATATAAAAAATTTAATGTCAATTGAATAATAAGATAGAAGATTTTTAGAGTTTTTGTTGGTTATTATCTTGAATAATTAAAATTTAGGATCATTAAGAATTTTTGTAATCTTACAATATTTGCTCGTTTGATTGAAGAAAAAATTGGTAAGAGCAATTTAGACTTAATACCTATATACTAACTAATTTTTTGAAGCAATTGAATGTTTTAGCAAGAAGAAATATTTATTAAAAGATTAACATTGAAGTTGGAAAAAGAAGGCAAAAAACATCCAAGAGGTTTTGAAAGCTTTTCTTTTAATTGATGAGTCTGATTATTCTCAAATTTTGTATGCTTACAAATTTCTTGGAGATTGAAGTCTAAGTAAAATTTTAGTTAAGATCAACAATTCAATTAATATTTATTGAAGTTTCAAAATAATTATAGTAATTGATTAAGATTTCTTTAGGATTTCTTTAAGATTTGATTAAAATTTAATTAGAATTTATTTAGGATTTTAATAATATTTAATTAGGATTTTATTAGGATTTTATTCAAGATTTTATTAAGATTTTTTAGGATTTTATTACAATTGATCTAAGTTTTAGGATTTTATTAGGATTTATTTATATTTATATATTTATTATTTTAAAAATATTTTTTTATTTCTTTAAAATATTATATTTTTAATATTTTGTAATATTTTTTTTGTATTTTTTTTAAAAATTTCTTCATTATTATTTTTTGAAATTAATTTATGACTTCTTTATGTTCTTTTATTAATTCCTTTAAATTTCTTTTAGATTGGTTAAAATTTAATTAAGGTTGATATAGATTACTTAAAATTTATGTAAGACTTTATTAAATTTGGTAGGATTTTGTTATTGCATTTGTACTTCCTTTCTACAGCTAGGTGCTCAGTGCATTCTTAAGCAAGAATATATGTAGTACAACAATGTATTGATAGCTTATGGTACAAGCTAAACTTTATAGTGAATATATAAGAAACTTATTTTGCAAATTAAACATATGTCTTGTAAGTTGGACATATCTTGAAGATATTATAGAATATTGCTACATAGCTCCTAGTTAGATAGTATACATAGAGGCAAATGTGAAGCCTTCTTTGTTCTTGATAATGCCTTTCTTATTTCTAATATTTTTTTTAAGAAACTCTAGTTT